GAGGTGCTGGGATAGTCAGTCACAACGACAAGGTGACGTCACTGATAGAAGCTGTCAGGTCTCTGTACCTAAGTTATCTGAGGTGCTGGGATAGTCAGTCACAACGACAAGGTGACGTAACTAAACTGTCAGGCCTCTGTACCTAAGTTATCTGTGGTGCTGGGATAGTCAGTCACAACGACAAGGTGACGTCACTGATAGAAGCTGTCAGGCCTCTGTACCTAAGTTATCAGAGGTGCTGGGATAGTCAGTCACAACAACAAGGTGACACGATAGATTACACCTCAGGGCAATATATAAGGGAGGGGCAATTTCAAGAATCATAATAGATTCTTCCGAAATGACAGTACACAGCTGCTGATATCTAAAGTTTAACATGTACACATGCCTAATAATAATATATACTAATTAATATGTAATGGAAAGAAGCTTCTGTATATCAGGAAGTAGAGTTTGAGGAGATTGGCAAAATAAACAGGACTAGTTTTTGAACAGTGCATTGCGTGCATACAAATTGAGGCAAACGTAGTATAGGCTGTGAGGACAGAGGAAGACTCTATCCAACTCAGGGGACAGGAAGGATTCTAGGCAAGACAAGTATTGCGTACCAGGTGTTGATGTTGTCCTCATTGAGAACCGCACAGTCACAAGGGCTACAGGGCAAAAAACAGGTTAACATGATGACATGAGAGGAAGATAATGATATAAACTCAGTACATTGCAAGTGCTTTGTATCTGTCACATTGTTTTAAGTCCTAAAACGATCTGAGATTTTAATCATAAAATCAAAACATCTTTAAATGAAATTCTGATAGGTTTTTTTTTAGCTGAAAAACAAAGCAAGAATCAAAGGTTGTGTATTTAAATAAAAAAAAGATAAATAATTTTCAAATACCAAGGTTTAAATGTCAACTACTGAAAATACTTTATAAAGTAATTTTTGAAGATTTTGAAAAACAAGGGGAATAACTCTAACATTAACTTGACCTTCATTACACCTGCAGAACTGTGCTGATGTCAGACCAAGTTCCTAAACTCATTACACCTGTAGAACTGTGTTGATGTCAGACCAAGTTCCTAAACTCATTACACCTGTAGAACTCTGCTGATGAATTGTTCCGATCCGAGTTTAACATCTGTAATGTATTACGGTTCAGTAGCTTCCTCCATTAAGTCAAAAGCAGTAAAAACAAAGCCCAATAAGATCAACTTCATTATATCAAATACAACAATATATACTCAGACCCTAAACAATAAACACGGCATTGCTTCTTACACAGGAAACAACATAAGTGGTAAATTACTGCGAAAACCCCCCAGATGATTGGATTGAGAAATCAAACAACACTACTGTAGGAAATTGTGTTTGATAAGACAAAGAAAGTAATATATGAAATATGTTGGAAGTAATTTAGCCTAGGTCAATCTGGATTGATTTAGGAAAGGTGAATACGCGACTGGCTGAAATCTCCACAGACGTAAATTATCAGCCTGCTTTTTGTTCTTCTGAGGCTTTCTCTAAGTGGCTTGTGGCATTCTTACAGAGATAAGATGTACCATTTTCAGATTTACATGAAAGGGGATGCAGATTGTAAGTACCAGGATGCAATGTTAGACAGTCATAATTCTTCTGCATTAGGGTGGCGTGTTCTGGCAAGATGTTGGTTCGTTTAGAAGTCATATTAATGACAGCAGCTTCAACATTCAGGCTGTACCCGCGATACATATATCAAAACAGAAATACAAGTGTTTCTCCTAAATCTGTTAAATACTTTAACACGCGCCTGTTTTCATTCATGCATAACTCCATATTTTATCAATTTAGATTTAATTTTAGGTCTGCACATGGTTAGGGGCAACCATGTAAAAACAGCTTCATCCCCAAAATTTGACCTTTGGTATGCATGGCTGTTGCGTCATTATTATATATATAAACATGCTATATAAGAATGGCTATTTATCAGTATACCTAATACATAAGGATGCAGAGGCAAAGTGATTCATTCAAGGATAAAAAACATTAATTCATTTCGTTATTCCACCAATACTGAATAGTTACAAGAAATGTTGTGAGATTTACAAGAAATATAAGATGTAATCTAACAGGTACAGAATTGTATAAATTGATTATACATTAAACATACAGCTTATATATGTAAAATTAGGTATTTATAAAACACAGACTCCGGATTTATGTGTTATTGAAAATACAGACTCTGAGATAAGACAGACTCGTCAAAGATATGGAGATCAGAGGCAATACCACGAACATTCATAACATTGCATTCCAGCAAATCCTACAAGTATATAGTTTCCTAGTACCAGTCTAGATCAGAAGTGTGGTAGTATAGGCACCAAGATATTCATTTATCTGACTAAGACCATACTTTCAGAGGGGTATAATGCTAGTCATTTGTAAAATGAGTGATCCTAAATGCCAACTGGATTCTTTTTCTGAGTAAAAACAGGATCCATCTTGTCCAACATCAATAACACAGCATGTCTATGTCGGTATGTTTCTAGTTCAAATTCTCATATTTTGAAAGATGACTTTGACTTTGCCAATGTCAATTTTTTCTGATCTGTCTTAGCTAGATTTGAGCAAAGGGAGATAAATCTGTACAGTTTCCCCAGTAGGTCCCTATCAAATCCTATTTATTTCTCTAAGACATGTTTATATCATTGTATGCCCACAGAAGCTGTATGTAACCTCTTCAATAGTCAGAGGATGTCAAAAGGCCTTACTTTGGTTACTGGGACCTGGAATGATTGCCAGAAGACAAGGGTGTGAGAGCGTGGGAAGCACTCTGGAAATGCTTTACCTCCAGGTGTCCCTTCCAAAGATATGGTCAAAAACAAAGAGATCAGCACAAACGAACACAGGTGGATCTTTTCAGGAGTATAAGAAACTGGGTTACCTTTGAATGACCTTGACCTCTGACCCATTGGTATTCTGATGTTAGTAACACCTGTTTCCATGGTAAGTCTAGTGTGGAGGGATGGTGTATTGGGAGGTAGAGATCTATCGTATATGGACAGATGATACAACTACAGATTATCTGATTTTTAACTTTTTATGGTTAAGTTCAAAGAAAACAAAATATGCAGCAAGCCCTTGTGGGTTTTTGTTTTTTTTCAGTTTTGCTCAGACCAAATTATGAATTCTGTAATTTCCCTTTTTTATCTAAATGAAACATATCAAAAGTGATAGAACGCTAATTCAATTGTGACTCCTTAGTGATTGGCGATCAGATCAAGGGAAGATAAACACTGATATTATAACAATGTAAAAATCAGTAATAAAGGGATTGCCTTTTATTCCATTGTTTAAACCTAGAACTTGAACTCGGATAAGTATAAAAGTCTAGTACGGGTTATAGGGGAGGGGTCTCTGGTGTAACTGTATGTGTATGCTTGTGTGTTTACATACAGAATCTGCTCTAGAAGCTGGCCTATAGATGCACATGAAACACCTGAGGCAGACAAAGGAAGGGTGCTGAAGGACTGATGATCTGTGGTCAGCCATTATGGGGAGACATTTTGGCACTAACGATAAGGTCATACGTTGACGGTAAAGCACACCAAATAAGGTAACTATCTGCTATAAAACAGACATACTACATCCTGTCCACGGAATGAAAGCCTTCCAGTTTGGCTTATACTTGCTGATCAATCACGATCTACATGTTTTTCAAAGCTTTTTCTCTGCCAACCATTGCAATAAAACGTCTTTCTCTCTTTCAATCCTGATCCTTAACATTGCTATTTTGTGTGGAGATGTGCTTTAGATACTCTGATCAGGCTTAGAGCCAGCCTATAGAGAGTTGGATCGGGTCACAGACAGCTTGTCACCCATTAGGCCTATATAGCTGTGTGAGGACAGCCCATTTCAGGGCTATTATTAGAGATTTATAGTGAGGTCCAGTGCGACTGTGATCCGACAGATTAGGGTAATGATGATTGGTGGTGAGCGTGATCAGGTCCTGTGTCATAAGTTCAGCAGTACTCTGAAGGCTAATACAGCCGTCTGTTCCAGATACATTTATAATCCAAAATTGTTTAAGTTAACTTTAAACACATTATCTAAACAGATCAAGGATTATTGACCTATATCAATGTAGCACAACTGAACATGTTGTTTTTTGAACAATTTTAAAAGGTAGGGTTAGAAGATTATGTTTGCAGGTTTTTCATGAGCCTCATAAAAAATACTATTTTGAGCCACCACTTAATCAGAAATTGTTTCCGTTAATTGAAAAGTGTTTTCTCTGACAGCTATCCTGATTGGTTGAGTATCTGTGGTGAAGAAGACCTGGAGGACGGCCTGGAGGGAGTCGGTTTATGGGGTGGAGGAGTCATGTTTTATATCCCAGTAATGAATTGCTTTCCAGGAGGAGGTGACGTTCATAGGTGATCTGGGGATAGTTTATGTGGACTGGGATATCATCTTAAATCACCTCTTACATTCAAAGCTGTGGCCAATATGCTTTATGAAGTAAGGAAAGTTTAAGATAGGGAATCATATATGGCATTGAAAGACATGAAATATGTACGGCACTAGGTGAATGTCAGCTTAACATCTTATTACATAATAAATGGAAAACATATTAGCACTCAAAACTGACATTAAGGTTTCCTTAGAAGTGTATGTTATGAGCCCTCTAGTGGTTCCCTATAAACTAAGTTTTCCCCTTATTAGCTTTGAATAAATACTAATAGATTCGAGGTGGAGGTCAAATTTTGAAATAATAATGTGTTTAAGAGAGCAAACAGATATTTTGAGGAGTAAAAGCATAGCTAGGAATTGTGCATATGAAACTTCTCAGAATCAAGATATTAAGTTATTGTTGGTTACAATTGTGAAATGATTGATGAAGATGCTCAGAAGATGCAATCGTCATGCAGAAGTAATTATACACACCACACAAACTACAAACATTATCATGAAATATGTGGAAGACAGAAAATTGCATCAAATTGCAAACCAAAAGGAAAGCAAGCTAAATTAGGTGCAACAAAGGTCCTGGGAAAACTACTCACAAGCTATGATGGTTTTGTGGCGCAGAGGTTTCAAATGGAGGCTGCTGACGATTACGCTTTCTTGTAAGACGTCCCAAGCTCATTGTCCTTTTCAAGGAACCCACAATTGAACCGTTGCTAAATTGAGATAAAAACACAACAAAAATGAAGGAAAATACTACAAAAAGCAGCGAAAATGTCAATAAAAGACCATTCAGCCGGGCACAAGTAAGCATACAGATAAAGGGTGGAATGATAACAGAACCGATGTCAGTCGATGGAGGTTTATATAAAACATCTAAGCAAAATAATCAAGCCATTCTCATTTGCACAGTGCACCAAGACACTTTTAAAATTGTTTCTGCTATGACACCTGTTCATGGTTGCACCTACAATACATTTTTTAGCTTTTATTTTAAATTCTAGTCCTATAAAATATGATATAGCCAAACATGCTATAAACACAATGTAACAAAGGTTTGTTTTTTCTGTTCACACTCTCTCGGGTATCAAAACAACGCTTTTAGGTATGATATTCCTTTATTGTTTTATAGTATAGGTACATACCTAGACATGCCGGCGACACTGTAGTATTACACACCGCACTGTTGTATTATACACCGGCACTGTAGTATTACACACCAGCACTGTAGTATTACACACCGCACTGTTGTATTACACACCGTCACTGTAGTATTACACACCGGCACTGTAGTATTACACACCGTCACTGTATTATTGCACACCGCACTGTTGTATTACATACCAGCACTGTAGTATTACACATCAGCACTGTTGTATTACACACCGCACTGTTGTATTACACACCGCACTGTTGTATTAAACACCGCACTGTTGTATTATACACCAGCACTGTAGTATTTCACACCGTCACTGTATTATTACACACCGGCACTGTAGTATTACACACCGCACTGTAGTATTACACACCGGCACTGTATTATTACACACCGCACTGTAGTATTACACACCGCACTGTTGTATTACACACCAGCAATGTAGTATTACACACCGCACTGTAGTATTACACACCGGCACTGTAGTATTACACACCGCACTGTAGTATTACACACCGGCACTGTAGTATTACACACCGGCACTGTAGTATTACACACCAGCACTGAAGTATTACACACCACACTGATGTATTACACACTGTCATTGTATTATTACACACCAGCNTCAGCACTGTTGTATTACACACTGGCACTGTAGTATTACACACCAGCACTGTTGTATTACACACTGGCACTGTAGTATTACACACCAGCACTGTTGTATTACACACTGGCACTGTAGTATTACACAACGTCACTGTAGTATTATACACCATCACTGTAGTATCACACACCAGCACTGTTGTATTACACACTGGCACTGTAGTATTACACACCAGCACTGTTGTATTACACACTGGCACTGTAGTATTACACACCAGCACTGTTGTATTACACACTGGTATTGTTGTATTACACACCAGCACTGTAGTATTACACACCAGCACTGTAGTATTACACACTGGCACTGTAGTATTACACACTGGCACTGTTGTATTACACACCCGTCACTGTAGTATTACACACCATCACTGTAGTATTACACACCAGCACTGTAGTATTACACACCGACACTGTTGTATTACACACCCGTCACTATAGTATTACATACCATCACTGTAGTATTACACACCAGCACTGTAGTATTACACACTGGCACTGTTGTATTACACACCCGTCACTATAGTATTACATACCATCAATGTAGTATTACACACCAGCACTGTACTATTACACACCGACACTGTTGTATTACACACCCGTCACTATAGTATTACATACCATCAATGTAGTATTACACACCAGCACTGTACTATTACACACCGACACTGTTGTATTGCACACCCGTCACTGTAGTATTACACACCAGCACTGTAGTATTACACACCGCACTGTAGTATTACACACCGGCACTGTAGTATTTACACACCGCACTGTAGTATTACACACCAGCACTGTAGTATTACACACCGGCACTGTATTATTACACACGGCACTGTAGTATTACACACCAGCACTGTAGTATTACACACCAGCACTGTTGTATTACACACCACACTGTAGTATTACACACCAGCACTGTATTATTACACACCGCACTGTATTATTACACACCGCACTGTCGTATTACACACCAGCACTGTAGTATTACACACCGCACTGTAGTATTACACACCAGCACTGTAGTATTACACACCGCACTGTTGTATTACACACC